CTGTGGGCTAATGCATCAGACTGCAAAGTCATTTGAACTGCAAGGTTGGTGGTTCAAGCTCACCAACTGCTCCTTGGAATCCCTATACAGGGTTGCTATGAGTCGGAATTGACTCGATGTCACTTAACAACAACAAGGGGTGGGAGGGAAGGAGTTCTGGTTACAATTGTTGTTGTTGTTGTTGTCAGGTGCCATCGAGTCGGAACCGCCTCATAGCGACTCCATGCACAGCAGAACGAAACAATGTTCGATCCTGGGCCAACCTCACCACCGCTGCCACCCCCGAGTCCATCAATGATGCCACCTGGCCGATCCATCTCGTTGGAGGTCTTCCTCTTTTTCTCTGACCCTCCACCCTACCCAGCATGACATCCTTCTCCAACGATTGTTTCCTCCGGACTACATGTCCAAAGTAGGAGAGACGAAGCTTAGCCATCCTGGCCTCCAAGGAGCACTCTGGCTGCACTTCTTCCAAAACAGATCTATTGGTTCTTTTGGCAGTCCATGGCACCCTCAGTATTCTCCTCCAACACCACAACTCAAAGGCATCAATTCTTCTACGATCCTCTTTATTCACTGTCCAGCTTTCGCATCCATATGAGGCTATTGAAAACACAATGGCCTGGGTCAGGCGCACCCTAGTCCTCAAGCTGACATCTCTGCTCTTCAATACTTTAAAAAGTTCCTGTGCAGCAGATTTGCCCAGTGCAATAGTGGTTATGAATCGTGCTGCAAATCTTAGGGACAGCAGTTCAAAACTACTAACTGTTCCATGGGAGAAAGATTAGGCTTTTTGCTCCTATAAAGATTTACAGCCTCAGAAACCCTATACAGGGTTGCTATGAGTCAGGACCAACTCAATAGCTCTTAACAACAGCAACAATATATTTATCAATTATGTATTATTGTATAATTGAGAAGAATTCATAAAGCTTGACAATTAAGAGGTGGTGGTGGTTATTGTTGTGTGCTATTGAGTCAATTCCTATGTAACAGAGTAGAAATACCCCATAGGGTTTTCTTGACTGTTATCTTTATGAAGCAAATCCTGGGTCTTTCTCCTGAAGACTCCTGTGGGGGTTTCAAACTTCCAACCTGAATGCTTAACCATTGAGCGACCATGACTCCTTTAGGTGGTCAAGGTGGTTCTGACTCCTGGTGACCCTTTATAGAGTTCCTGAGGAGTGTCTGGTGGGTTTGAACTGCCGACCTTGTGGTTAACAGTCCAGTGCTTCTGCTACAGTACCACACCAGGAAGTCACTGATGTTAAGTACCGTGGAGTAGGTTCCACCTCTTAGTGACCCTGATTTTGGTTTCTGAGGCTGTAAATCTTAATGAATCACTGACCTCATGGTTCGTAGTCCAGTGCAGATCCTTGAGAGTCATTGCACTCCCTTAGGTCATTAGAGAAATTTCTTCTCCTTTCATAGGATGGTGGTGGTGGTGACAGTTGTTCTTCCTGTTTTTCCATTTTAACATAAACAAATATATTTTAAACTAAAGGCATGAATCATTAATTGTAGAACATTAATGGCAAGAATATATTATATTATGGTAATGTACTTTGTCTAAAATAATGTACCCATCTCCCAAATAACTAGTATAAAATTAATTTAGCATAGTCATCTGAATATTAACTTGTATTATCAGAGCCATAGCCTACAAGACCAGACAATTTGCTTTTTGGCAGCCTCTATTAATTCTGACTCCATCTGGGGTGCTACTCATTTACAAATTCCAGGAGTTTGGAGAGGGGGTTATACTTAAGGTTTTGTTTGATTGTATTGTACATTGTTAGACTGTTTTTGCTTTTTTCTATCTATGGTACAGTGAACAGATTTTTAATAACATGGAGTTCTAATACCTGGGAGTACTGAATGTTTTTTTGTTTATAATTCTCCTTCAACCTTGATATGACTTAACAGCACTCTGGAATTTGCTTATGAATTTCATAAGTTCAGACTTGAACTGTTCCCCTAGTCCACATAGCTATTTTGTTGTCTTTTATGCCTCCTGATAAATTTTTTTTCTATAAGCCAGTGATGAAATTTAAACTTACTTCCAAGGGAGTGTTTCTGTACTAGTTATCCATTATATTGTTAGTCAAACAATGATTGACAAATGAATCTGTAGAAAACAATCCAAAAAGAAATAATTAGGTCTCTCGTATGGTATACAAAGCTCATATTTTAGGAAATTATTTTATGAAATCTATGTAGTTTTCAGCCTTATAAGATGAGAATGATGCTATTTATCTTTTAGCGTTGTTGGAAAACTTGAGTGAGCTAATATAAATTAAAATACCTTGTAAACTATAAAGTGGTATGCAATTTAATGTTAGTTTTCACTGTCATAATAATAACTATTGGCATACATAAGTATGTGTTCTCTGTCTTTCAAAGACCAGGATTTTTTTCTTTTGTTTTGCTGGAGGAAGTTGGCCTCTCAAGGGACAGGGAGAGATTAAACGGCTGCAGGTTTTTTGGGTGCTGAAATCACAATATTGTCTATAATTTTGAATGTTTCTAACTTTTAAAAAAATTCTCTGGAATTTAAAATAGTTTAGTTTTTGGTATATGCTTTTGAATATAATTTTATCATAGCTCCTGAAGGAAACAGGTGTATGTAATCTTCTCCGTGAACTGTTAACTTAAAAAAAAATAAAATTTATTAGCTGGCCCTGATTCAACACTGAATTAGTCACCCCTTACTTATGCAAGATAGTAGATCAGAAATTTCTGGGTTAGTGTCCAGCCCTGAACAGTCAACTTCCTAGACTAAATGAAGCTCACAGTATAACCGATATTATTGAGCACTATAATAGATTCATTTCCATTGAATTATCAAATGTTAAACAATTTTTAAATTTCAAATGGTACAGCGTTGATGGTTGTATGCCGTGGAATTGGTTCAGACTAATAGCCATCCTGTATAGTGTTTCTGAGACTGTAAATCTTTGTGGGAGCAGAAAGTCTCATTTTTCACCATAGGAGCAGTTGGTAGATTTAAACTGCTAACCTTGCAGGTAACAGCCAACTTGTAACCCATTATGCTGCCAGGGCTCCTTAAATTTCAAATAAGATAAAATTCAGAAAAGAGGGTGAGAATGGTGTATGTATGTTCAGCTGTGAATAATTTCTTTTATAATGATGAACACAAGCCTGGTCCTTACAGTTAAAAAATATCCCAACTGTTGGACCTTTCCCACATATTACACCCCTCCATAGTCCTTGATAAGGAGCTCTGGTAGCGTAGTGGTTACAAATGGGGCTGCGAACCTTAAGGTTCAAAACTACCAGTCACTCCACGGGAGAAAGATGAAGCTTTCTGCTCCTGTAAAGATTAGTAGCCTCAGAAACCCTGTACAGGGTCGCTATGGGTCGGAACCTACTCGATGGCGCTTAACAGCAACATAGCCCTTGATATCAGTCACCACTCCTCCCCTCCCTCAAGTCCCAGGGCTCTGTATCACAATGCAGTGTCTCACAAAACTCGCAGTTGTCAAAAGAAACAACTCAGGCAGTTGTGGAGGCTGACAAGTCCCAAGTCCATAATTCAGAGATCAGTCTGGAGGAGTCTACTCACCCATATCTCTGGGGCTAAGAAACCCAAATTGGTAGGTCTGTTGGTGTACTAGGCTGGAGGATTGGTGAGTCAAGGCAGGTGATGGGTTGAAAGTCCCACAAACTGGAGATCAGATGTAATGAGCCAGATGCAAGATAGGGCAAGAGAGCAAGCTTTTCCAAAGCAGTCTTCTAAATTGAAATCAGACCTTGTCCCCATGGTAAAGTAAGGGTGGTGACTTAAGTCACACCCACTACTAAGGTGGGGGCATCCTTAATCCTTAGTCCCACCTTAATCTTTACTCCTTAGCAACTCATTTCAAAATGGGTCCATAATCGCAGGCATAGAGGCTAGGATTAGATGAGGCATTCTGCTCACATAAAGATTTACAGCCTTGGAAACCCTAAGCAGGGTCACTATGAGTCGGAACCTACTCCACGGTACTTAACAACAACAACAACAGAAAGGAGAAATTTGGCTAAAAGGACCATAAAAAATAATTAGCTGCCCTGCAATTCTCAACAACAAAAATAAAAGAAAAACAGCAAAAACTAAGATATAAATATTTGACTAGTGCTGGTACTGAAATGTCCAATCATTAGAAAAATAATACCTGGGTAATTGTGGTAAAGCATGACATGGACTTAATTTATAGTCAGAATCCTAGGACTTCCATTTTCCAGTTCAGTTTTGATAGTGGTGGTGGTTGTGGTTGTGTACAATTTTTATAGTACTCCATGAAATGCTGTGGACTACACACTGGACTGCTAGTCATAAGGTCACAAGTTCAAATTCACCAGCTGCTCCATCGAAAGATGAAACTCTCTGCTCCTGTAAAGATTTAGCCTTGGAAGCCCTATCACACGGTCGCTGGGAATCAGAACCAACTTGATGGCACACAACAACAACAATGAAATGGCACACTTAGAATACTTATTAATAAATGGGAAAACAAACTACTAACTAATGGCTCTGGGAACTCACCAAGCACTTGTTTGTTTATTAATCTCTATACCAGACTCTGAGCTCCCAAAGAGCAAAAATTGTAACAACTTACATTTATTAAATTCTTATAGTGTCTATCATAACTCCAGAGCAACTTCTAGACTGTTTTGCAACTTACTCACACACTAATAAGTAGCAAAACCTTTTTTCAAAACCACATCAGCATGACTTTACAATCAATGTTCTTTCCCGTATACCATTCTGTTCCCAGTCCCTAGCCCAGTTATTTGGCTATATTGATATGCTGTTGATGTACAAATAAATAATGAATAATTTTCCTCTACCTTGCTTGGTCAGGGACTATTTGTTCTTGTATTCAAAAATTAATTTCCTTTTTATTTTTCAAAATTATATTTTATTTGAAAATACTAAGATTGGTTCACACTATATTCTTGAACTAAAATCCATTTCTACCTTTTTTCCTTTGCAGCTTTTCATCATGTTTCTGTTTACCCAAAGAAAGAGCTTCCTTTTTTCATCCATTTTACAGCAGGACTGTGTTCTTCTACAGCAATGTTAGCCCTCCTCACACACCAGTTTCCTGAAATCATGGGTGTTTTTGCTAAAGCTGTAAGTATGATCTCAAGGACTTGTATAGAATATTTGTAAGGCACACAAGAAGCCGTCTATGATCTGTCTTTGCTAAACCAGTTGGGTGGCAGAATATATCTGTTAACTAAATCACAGGAATTGTTTTGTAAAGTTGCTGCCATAAATATTTCAAACATAAGTTTTTGGTGATTTGAGTTATCTTTCTGTTGCTTACGTATTTCAAGGATGCAGTGCTATAACAATATAAATTTGTCTTTGTAGATCAGTTTGGGTGGTAAACCTAACACTTGCTACCAGTTAAAGAATAATCTCTTTTAACATTAATGCATTTTCCTTGACATTTAAAAAGAGAGTTCCCTGTTTTGTAAACACTCCTTTATTTTTGTTTTTGTAAATGAAATAATTATTTCTAAGGATTTGCAGAACATTCAAGAATGCATGTAGGACAGAGACTAAGTAGGTAAAATGGGACATTTGTCCTGGGTATGGAATGTGCCTCTTTGCTCAGAGTTTCTCTGTTATTGTATTTACATATTCCTCTTGATTTCTCCCCACGTTGGGTGTAGAACCATTTGTAGACTTTTATTTTCATTTCACCCTTTGGTTTAAAGTGCTTCCCCCATTTCCTGACCTAGAAAGTAGTGAGGACTGAGAGTAGGAAGGGTATCCCATGATTATCTGCTCATCTCCATAAACTTATTAAGTAGTGTACACTGGCTCAAAGTAAAATTGCCTAAGATAATTTCTTTGAAGTCTCCAAGTCTTTTAAAAAACGCATCTTTCTTGTACATATTTCCATTTTTACTAGGTTAAAATCCACAAATAAAATATCAATTTATTATATTTCTAAATACAAAAGCACTAAGATCCATAGGAAAAATACTGCCCTTCCTTGATAGTAAATCTTCTCTGTTTTTCCTGTATACCTCCATTCTGACTTCCTGCTTCCTCACCATTCCTTTTTCTGCCTTAATGTTCATTTATAGGATAGTTTGTATTGTGCCTTAAAGACCAGTTCTTTCTTCTGGCACCGATGGTAAGACCACTGGTTTCCCTTTTCTCTTGAGATCACCTAACTAATGTGTTAAGTTGCCATTGGCTGTAGGCCTAGGAGTCGGAGACTGCATTTGATTCCAGGTCAAGCTTCAGAAGAACAACTTCCCACTGCTGTGCAGGGAGTATAGATATTTGGGTTGGAAACAATTTTACTTTCTTTCAGTGTAAAAAGGAAGCTTAATGATTACACCATAACTCTGTTGTTTGCAGTGGTACTGATTGAGGAGTGCTCCCCAAACTGAAATGACCTTACTGTATAACCTGGCATGGAGTAAAAATGGACTAGAAAGGGAATCCCATCCATTTAACACCTGGGGGAAAGTGTGCAAATGTGTATTTGAGATTATCGGCCAGCAATTGGAGAGAGAGTTCTTGAATTTCCTCTGGGTAGTGGAATGGGAGCAAGGTTAAATAGAGCAAGAAGATGTAGAATCTGGAACAGGCATGCACCAATTGTTAGTAGTGTGTTTCCATGACGTACTGACTTAAACTAACGTGGTGTGTGTTCACTGTGTACACTGTACATCAACATTCGTATTAGTGCCTGCCTTTCCCTCAGAGGTGACTGATGGCACCAGAAGACCCTTTAACATTATATAGCACTCTTCTAGCAGAGTCGGAGAATGACTAATACCACATTTTAAAGTGGAAGCTCCTTTTTTAGATCAATGTTTCTAATTTACTGTGATTCTAGTTAATAAGTAATAAAGAATCACTCTTCTTTGATATTGATATAGTTGGTAGTGAGCCTGACTGTGAACTATTACAGACACATTATTTACATGTGCGTTTTAAATGCCTAAAAGCTAAGTACTTACTCAAAGTACCTGCAGACCCATAGCTGGTGTGCAGCAGTTCCAAGGGCAGGTTCCATTTAAGAGTTAATGGAAAATGAGTACAGCATGGGCATTCTCCAGCTTATAAACACAACGTATACAGACAGATTGACAGCAGGGAAACGTAACACTCGATTCTACTTCACCCACTTAAAGTGTGGTCTGTGGACTAGGAGCAGCCCACAGCAGGAGCTTGTTAGACAGAGCCTCAAGCACCACTCCAGACTTCCTGGGTCAGAATCTGCAGTGTAAGAAGGTTCCCAGGTGATCCTAGTTACACATTTAAAGCCTGTGACGTCCTATGTACTCTCCTCTACCCGCAATTTGAGGAATTTAGAACACCTAGATACTAGTGTCCCCCTTTTCCCATGGAGAGGGAGCAGCACTGCAGAGTGGTGGAGCATGACTTTGGAGCCAAACTGCTTTGCTTTAAACTCCAGCCCTGACACTCAACTGTGCAGCCTTGGGTAAATGACTTCCCCTTTTTCACTGACTAAGAGTACTGGCCTCATTAGTTTTTGTGATGGTTAAATGAATTTGAAATTTGTCGAATGTTTAGACTGTGTCTGCCCATAATAAGTACTAGATGAATGTTAGCTGTTGTCACCATTATCATAGTCATCGTCATCATCCTCACCAAAGTGCAGCTAGAGTGGGAAACTTACTTATAAATGGTGATTATTGTTGTTGCTGTTAAGTGCCTTTGAGTCAGTGTGACTCATAGCAACCCCACATAGGATTTCTGAGGAGTGGCTGGTGGGTTTGAACCTCCGACTTTGCAGTTCAAACTGACTTTGTGGTTCAGTGCATTATCCTGCAGCACCACACCAGGTGATTAGGTAACATTAAAACAGTACCATTAGAACTATAGGGCATCCTGGTAGGTAGCATAGTGGTTATGAGTTGGGCTGCTAACCAAAAGCTCAGCAGTTTGAATCTACCAGCCATACCATGGGAAAAAGGTGAGGCTTTCTTCTCCTGTCCAGGGTTGCTATGAGTCAGAAGTGACTCGAAGGTACACAACTACCACCATTAGAGATATACTTCCGGTGCATTGTGCATTATGAACTACAGAAAGGAGAAATATTTCAAGTTCTAGGCATGGGCAGACTGCTTTATAGAACCTGTTGGTAATTTGCAAATAACCTCTGTTAGGATTTTCAATTGAGTCAGATATTTGATGGCCAAATAAAGCAAGCAGAAAGCAATGAAGAATCTTCTAAAGGAAATCAATTCCATAAAAATTTCCAAATTTCTTCTGTTGTAACCATTATGTTTTCCTCCATCTTGTATTTTTTTTGTATTGTGGTAGAGCAAATGCAATTTGAATTTGTTAAAGTACAGTTATAAAAATTGCCTTTTTTGTGGAGCAAGGCACTGGGGATTAATGATTTTTAATTTAAGATCAGGTTTAGATAAACAGAAGAGAACAAACTAGAATGGTTAGTGAATTAAACGCCCCTTCTTCCTTTGCATGATATAAAGCTATATGGGGTAAGACTTCATTTTCAGCAAGTTATGATTTTTCCCTCTGACTTTTCTTCTGGCTGAGATGAAAACCTAATCTGACATTAGACATAGAGCGATGGAAAAAAAAGTTGCATAAATCCCTGGAGATGTGGAATGTGCTGATATGAGTGCTGGTATTCTCTAATGCCAGAATTCCTGAAAAAGGAAAAATTGCCTTTAAGTGGTAGGTCATTTTCTCACCTGCTTTGAAGCCTGCTGGGTTAAATATGAGAGTTCAAAGTAAGGGTAGCCAGCAAACCAACTGAACTGGAATCTGATTCTGCTTATCTGAAAGAAGCTTCTTTATTTAAGAGCAGCACTGCCCTTACCTTAGAGAACTACTCTTCATCTACTCCAGGCCCTCTCTTAGTGAGGGTTTGGAGGGCATTATCACAATAGTGAAAGACTAAAGGTGGTCTTTGGGAATTTGGGGATTTTAGCTTACTGATGATGAATTCAGGTTTTTGGCATGAGACTTAAGTGCTTTGAATTCAGAAATGTGTTTGAATATAAAAATTCCCTAGTTCTAGGGTTTTAATTAAATAGGGCAGCCTTTGCAATGTTGGCAGAAAAAGGTGTTATAGGTAAAGTCAGTAATCAAAATCTTCCTAAAAAAATTTGCTTATTTCACTAAGACAAAACTTTGTTGAAATTTCTTTCACTAAACACACATTATAGCTGTGCTAGGGTGGGAATGGGCTCTGTTTCCACATATTTCCACTAATCTTTATGTGGGAAAATGTAGTTAGACATGCCAGTGATGAATTTCTGAGCAACTCATAATTGGCTGCCTCCACTGTAACTAGGGCTGAACAGTCTGCTTGATTAATTCTGTAAGGACCACATTAGCCAAGTTGCATGATTTCCAAAGATTATCAAAGGTCAGATGTTACACTAACAAAGGACTTCTCTACAGAATGTCTCACTGGGGTTTCTTCAGTCCCTTCCCAAAAATAATTAAGTTTTTTCTCCCCAAATTACATTTTTAAAAAGGTAATAAGCAAATATAAATGCCAAGTGTCTTTTATTAAATAGTGATCAAAACTATTGGGAAGATTTGTCCACTATTCTCATTTATTCCAGTGCAAAACTAGTCTTCAGAACTAGGGGAATTGATAGATGAGTATAACTATATGCTAATATACACCTGTAGAAAAAAAATGACAATATGATTATGTTAATACCTTCTAATTTTCCACTGTCATAGTCAGTGACATGAAATGTGTTCATAGATGAAAAATCACTTTTTTTATATTTTCCATGATAGTTGTATACCTCTTTATTAAATACAAAAAACCACACTCCAAAATCAAATTGACAATTACAATAAGATTATTGTTTGAAAACAGATTATTTTTCAAAGTTAAAGAACTGACATCATTTAAAAAGCATCTGAATTATAACTAAGCTTGTATTCCTGTAAAATGATGTTCTGTAAACCATGTGGTTTTCAAAGCACTACTGCTGAGGTGTTTCTCTGAAATGATCCAGAAAATAAAATGAGCCAATTGTGTGACAGGTCAGAATTTGAAAATGTTCACATTTTTGTTCTGTTGTTAGCGCCTCTAAAGTCTTTATTTGGGCAGTTTGGCATATTTTCATTTTTATTTTCTTAATTAACTAGGTTATCCTAGTTTTTTGTGTCATGTGAAAAGATGTTTCCTTCCTTCTATTAGGGTGCTTTTCATTTTTCCCCTTCACAACGAACCAGATAGAAAATTTGGGTAAGAAGACTATTCGCAACTTCACAAAATTTTCAAAGTTCTAAATTCTTTTC